TCCCAGTCGTGACAGGGTCTAAAGAACCGGCACATGGAGTTGACACGCTCGTTTTCCGAAAGGGCTCGTCCGATTGCTTTAAAACCTTCACCAACGATTTCATGCAATGAGGAGAATCATGAGATCGCAATGGCGAGACTTGACCTGAGGTCAAACACCTCAAAAGGCCCGAAGAGAAAATTCCATGCAATAGCAGACCGCTTAGATTTCAAAGCCTACAGCGCCGACAGCTGTGAACCTCACTTTGATGCGCCAAACCTGATTCCCTCTTGCAGTTGAAAATGTGTGGACCCTAAGTCCGAAATCTTGCTTACAGACAACTCAGTTCTCAGAACCTACCGAAACGATTCGAATCGTCCGCATAGCCATGGCTCGGGGCATAACTCGGCACATGGCTCGGCACATGGCTCGGCACATGGCTCGGCACATGTCCCGGCACATGGGCTCGGCACATGTCCGGCACAGGCTCGGGTACATGGCTCGGCAAAATGGCTCGGCGCATGGCTCGGCACATGGCTCGGCATATGGCCCGGCACATGTCCCGGCACATGGCTCGGCATATGACCCGGCACATGTCCCGGCACATGGCTCGGCACATTTCCCGGCACATGGCTCGGCACATGGCTCGGCGCATGGCTCGGCTCGGCGGCCCCGAAGCTCCAAGTCGAAAACTTTGACGGCTCGCCACTGCGGTGACCTCGTTGGCGCTCCGCTGTTAAATGCAGTGGTGCACGAGCATCGGGGTCTGAGCGAAGCAGAAAAGCTCTCTCACCTGCAGTCTTGCCTCTCACTGGAGTGGCACGTGACGCGGTCAGAGGTGTACGGTCGACACCGTGAATTGCAGACCCATGCTGAGATTTCGTACTCGGGGTCCTCCGAGTGCGTGAAACGGAGAGTGAGCCTAGGAGCACCTCGACTCAATCATTCTGTGCAACTGACAAGAAAAATCCGTTTTTTGACACATCATGCCAGAAACCCCTTCGAGTTCTGAGCGGATTTTGCATGGAGAATGTTCGGTTTTGAACAATCTTTGGGTTCTGCTCCAACAATCTCGGTTGTACAGCAAACACATCAGTTGGTCGTATTTTATATCTGCTTTTATTACAGTGGCAGCGCGTAAATAGGTCGACTGGATCGGCTAAAGGAGCAAAGACGGAAGTAAGTACATGAAACCACAAACCTTTCCAGACTTCAATCGGCCGCATTGAATGCTTTGCCTACGCCAGTTGGCACACTGAAGGATTGTTGTCGGTGCATTTTCTGTCGTTCCACTTGCCGTATATGAGGTGTTCACTCGACTTCGATCCCAAAATCTCCACACAATCTTCTTCATCGGATGCGTCATCGGGCTGGCCACGGGCCCATGCCTTGAAGTGCTCTCCCGTCAGTGGACGACCTTCCCAATCGACAAATAAGCCTTCGCTATACCGATCGTTGATGCCCAGCCACTTGTTCTCTTCACTGGCCATGACGGCGACGCACAGGTTCTCTTCACGACTGCGTGGCACCGCCAGGTGTGAGTTGATCTGTACACAGCTGGCCTCAGCTTGGTCGTGCGTCATGAACGCCTCTTGCAGTTTGTAGCAGTGTCCAGCGCACCACTTGAAACCCTCAGGGCAGCCGCACTGAGAGACACTGGGTTTACTCTCCGGCTGCTTCAGACTCCCGCAGTGAAACTCCAGCGCCTCGTTGACCACCTCCTGGAGGTACTGCCGCAGGGTGCCGGCCGTGTAGCGGTCGCCACCGCAGCCTGCGAGGCAGACCAGCGCCGAGAAAGCCGGCCACCACCGGATGCCGGCAGAACGCGGCATTCCTCTCGCGCGCGTCTAGAGCTGGCTCAGCCGCGTGAGATACTGCCTCTCCCAGTGTCTGGAGCAGACTGCACCACTGGCACGCGCCGTCCCATGGGCTTCTCAGCTGTCATGCAACGTTGAGTTTCCAAGTACAGCCAACCAGTAGCCGGGGGTCCCATAGTCGTTAAGCACACGTCACGTCTAATCCTGGCTGTATCAGTTGCCAGTGACAGGTCACGTGACGACAGGCCTTACGTGCCATGCTCATAAGGAAACTAAAAAATTACCACCGTGAGAGGCTTCGCATGTATGGTTCGCCGTAACTCCGCTGTTTCAGTGTGCCGAGGACTCGTACACATTCAAACTCCCCTGTGTGTAGAAGGTCCTGTTGTAACATTAATGTCCACCACCACTGGCACGCGCCGCTCCATGAACCTCCCAGCAGTCCCGCAACGTAGATATTCCAGGGACAGCCAACCAGCAGCCGGAGATATACTAACCACACATCCCGTGACGTCCTTCATGAATCAGTTGCCAGTGCCAGATTACGTGGCGACGGTGCTTATGTTCCATGCCCTTGTGTGAAGTTGAGAGGTGAGAACTTTAACTCCGAGAGAAGCAGCCTATCTCAAAACCAAAGTTCCAATGCTCATAGAAGTTATGTCAAGGAGGGTGTACAAGTTTAAACACTACAAAACGTACAATTTGGCTTGGGGTTCCTGTTTTTAAAGATATGACGCGTCACACTCATAACGTTTACAAACCTTTGCAAATCTGCTGCAAATGTATTCATAACATGGCTGATGGTCCTTAGATCATAATACTATGGCAGGATTGTGGGGTGCCGGGGCAATTCAACTTTGTGAAAAGACAGATTTCAGGACGCATCGGTACGGAAAATCCATGAGAGACGCCCTACCGATTTGTGCGCGATGCCTCAGCCCGCAAATTGTCTCCAACAGCCAAACAGCGGGAGGACTGCGGTGTCTGAACGTCACGCCAGTCTGTCAAAGCCGTGTCTGCTTGTCCGCATATCACACAAGCCCAATAGATTGTCTTCCCTCAACCCCGGCACTGGACGTCCTTTTGGTCAACATGGGCTGGGCTGGGGCTGGTCGAATTGGGGGGCTTTGGGGCTGGTCGAATTCGGCAGAGAGTGCAGGCAAGACTAGGAACTGAGCCCGTTCAGCGAGGGGCGCAATCACTTGCTGAGATCCACCCATAAATCGCCAGAGAGGCGACGGTTCTGACACGAAAAGATGATAAAATAGTGATATCTGACAGATATCATTATCATTATATTACGCTTCGATATGAATCCTGCTGAATCGTTGCGTTCAACGAAATGTTCCTGTACTGATTACTGTGGCCGCCGAAGCTACATTAGAAGCGCAAACTTGGTTCAGGCGTGGCTTCATCCCCGCTTTATCATAACTGGTACCGCCTCAACTACGAAGACACTTACACCCACCAAATCGAGAAGATGGTGGCTCAACATTTCCACGTGCGATGTGGGTATTTTGCGTGGCATTTGCGGCTGGGGCAACCTGACGGAGTCGCGCGCGATACGCCAGCGCAGGTTATCGATCGCGGTATTGTATACACGGCACAATACGGCACGGAAATGACGGAGATATACTAAAGGTCAAGCTTATCCGCTGTCTACAGAGGACCTATCAATCCTCACTAGTGTCACACTCCAGCGTGCATACACATAAGCCGGATGTCGGTTAATGCCACTGACTGATCTGGTCACGCGCTGTTCACATACGTCCTTGCACGGACGTAAAAACAACGCATAGATGTCTGTAGCGAATGATGTGCAGTGATGTGTAGTGATGTGTAGTGATGTGTAGTGAGCGATGTAGTAAGCGATGTAATGAAATGATGTCTGCGCGTTAACAAAACATTGGTAAAAATACTCCCACATGTCGTGTCCCTTGAATTGTGAATCTACCGCTCATATAGAGACAGCCCTATGCAATTGCAAACGCACCTTACACGTTTTAAAAGCTAATGGTCATGTTGAACTGGTTCCTGTTTTAATATAAAAGCTTTTACATGAGTTGTAAGGAGCATCTTCAATTCAAGGGCTCCAGTTACCGAACAAAGACATGAGCAAACGTTTGGAAAGAACTCAGTGAATGCTGTCGGACTCTTCCGCACCAGTGCGACTGCGGAAAACAGATGCGACCCAATATATGCTCCTAATTCGAACTGCATGATATTAGAAAGGGTCAGTCTCAGTCTTCTCAAGAGTGGTATGTTCACAGCCCACACGTCAGTATTTGCCACCGGTATCTACCTTGAAGCTTCTTACAAAGGCGCAAAAGTCGGGCAAGTGTTTGGAAGCTGCGTTTCAAGCCACTGTCAGTTACACTTTGTCTTTGTTGAAAACATGTCATTACGCAGCCTCATGTGGCAGCATAACACAACAACAATGCAATTATTTGAATGAGTGCTGTTGTTCAAGCGGCGCTATCATCTTCTGCAATCTTGCTCGCAACGTTGGTTGTTCATGCTGTTGTAAGACAGCACTTCCCATCCGTTAGCCTGCCGCTGCTGTCCGCCAGATTTCAGGAGAAAACACGACATACGTCGGAGCTAATGTCACTTGTTTCACTCTGCCGTTTCTCTGTGAAGCATCCAACCGCCCACCATTTGTACATCCGCGCACACACGTTAAAAGCACGGCCTTTAAGAGGAAAAAACACTACAATTTCGCTCCAGTGCACATTTTTTGTTCCAGCATAACGCTGTCCGAATCGGCAAAGTACGAACACGAAATCAAGCATCTTAAAGCTACCGCTGGATCGTGATTACACACAAGCAGGTACATACGCTCCATTTCACCCTTTGGTTATGGTGGGGAATATATTTATGAGGACTTCCTCTCGAACAGTAGCATACAGTTTTCAAGAGAGTACCATGTAGACGCGCATAATTGACATGCCGAAAGTTTGGCAATGTTATATTCATTCAAATACATCCCCCTGCTCTGTGCTCGCGGGCAGTTCATGCAGCGGGTAGAAGCGTTGTTTATTTCGAATAAACGGGGGATCTAGGACGTCAGTGCTCAGTTCCATTCATCTCACCTCTTGAGTTAAAGACATTTGGTTGATATCATGTTGGTATGGTGCTATCTAAACGCCACAGTACTTGCAACCAAAACCGGGCCATGTGAACGCTGGGTTGGCTCTTGTTTATTTACACAACACACTGTTGACGCGTTAGCCGCAAAAAGATACGAAACAGGGCGCGTCCGCTCCCACCTGCGCTCCAACATTCACTGCCGCCGCTCCGGAAGCGCTTGCTAACGTGTAAAGACCAGTAAATATCACATTGTTCACGGCAATTACACAAAGCACACATAACGGCTGCGTTCAACACGATAATATTCAAATACCCAGCCAGCAGTGGACAGCCCGGTGCAGCGATGTGCCCGGCACCTCACTCTCCTAGTAACAGGGCGAACCATGCACCCGTGGCGGCGGCGACCCTCATCTCTCAACTCACCACTCGGCCTCAAAGCTCTATCGCATGACAGTCAGCCATGCGGTCAGGATATGCATTCGGAAGATAAGTAGCTTGTTGTAATGAATCGCCCACTCGTGAAATCACACCTACACCCAGCGGTAGCCACGGACCTCGGATGTAGCATGCACCCGACAGCATTGTCTGGGTCATAACTTCCACCAACGGTGGGGGAGGGGGCAATCTACGCAGCTACGCAGCTACGCACTCAGCAGCTCTGCGTTGAACTGTTCTCTGCTGGGCAGCGAAAAAGCCAGCGGAATCGGACGCCCACAGCCACCTGAAACAGATAAAATGTTCTTAACACAGTTCGCAAATTCAGCTCACTGGTAATCTGAGCGATAGGTGAGATTTACACCCACTTTATAGTTTTCGTGTGGAATAGTTGGTGACAGTACAAGTCCACTGGCATACTTTGCACGCACAGCTGTATATTGTTTTCTTATAAGTCAACCATAACCATTCATTCTCGCACGTATCTTTCAGGATTTGTTTCCAACCTTTTGAATGGATGGATTTCTGGGATGAGAGCTCACGCTAGACACTGCTTGCTGTGTGAACCTTGACAACTGCAATCTGATCGTGCAGTTCCAGGTCAGGGGCAGAATTTAGCGGCAAAATTTCAACATGCCACAATATCCGGCACGATGCGTCGTGTCCTCTGACGTCATCTGAGCTTTAGCGCGGCCGCTGCCATCGGCCGCAAGCCACATCCGTCGAGGTCATAAAGCGAGAACCCAAAGCGACTCGATCCCACTCCACCACGGATGGGTGGATCGAAAGGTGGGTGCTCTAACCAACTGCACTATCGGGGCAGAAATACTTACCTCTTGTAGTCGACTTATATTTATGTATATCAACACATCCTATCCAGTCCAACCCAACTGCATCTGGGGCAAGCTATACGACCCAGATCTGAACTGGCACAGTGCACCCGAAGCTGCCTTATCGTTGACCAACCGACAGCAAATCGATTTCAGGGTAAGGGAGCATCTTGCAGGGTACCCAAGCTAGAGAAGAGATACCCTGCTCTATTATCTTTGCATCGGGACCTTGCGCTTTTTGCTCTTTGTCCTGCCCCACTCTCCGTTGAACTCCATTTTTTACTTCAGTGACGCACGCGCCTGAATACATGATGGAAGCGTTGTACGCGTCTCAATACATGATGGGAGCGTCGTGCGCGTATGAATACATGATGGAAGCGACGTACGCATATCAATACGTGATGGAAGCAGTTACATGTGATCCCAACACTACAGTTCGTCTACCAATATCCCTCGCAAACCCGGCTGCTTGTTTAGCCCCGTGCCAGCCGGCGGCCAGCGCCAGCTCGGCGCCCCTGCCGCTGGCGTCGTTGCTGGGCTGACCTTCGGGCGCTGGGGAGTCGCTGGCGAGCTGAGAGGCCGTCACCGAGCGCGTCTGCAGTGTGCTGCTTCGAGCCAGGTTGGTGCCCTGCAGGCAGACACCGGACCGTCAACTCGAGACGCCCGGACGGCCTTGCGTTGGCCCACGCATACTCACATCACTTTCACATCACATCACATCACGTCACATCACATCACATCACATCACATCACGTTCTTCACAGCTGCGCGGATCGCCGTCTGCAATCGTCCTGGCGCCGTGCAAATGCATTGTGATGACGTGCGTGCGTGACGAGATGCGCTGAGGCTTGACGGCGCGGAGGACTTTTTCCGTGTTTGTAAGAAGTCAACTCACAAAACCGTGCGTCCCCAAAACGACATAATCCGGTCTCCACCTCATCAACAATTGGCTGGTCTATTCTGCTTTAGCGTGAGTGCGTAATAGTCCTTTTCACGCAAACCTTTTGGGACTAAAACCTTCTTTGGTACCAAATTTGCAATCTCGAAAATATGACAAGCGGGAATGATATCCATGGTTCATCGTCAAACTTGCCAAAATAGACATAACGGTTTGCTCCAGAGGCGCTTTTGTTTCATCATCAAGCACTTATTTGTTAAGTCATAGTTGCAGTACTTAATGATTTGGTCCCATGCAACCAAATGCACAAACGTAAAATGGCGAGTAGGTACATGACGATGAAACAAAAACGCTTCCAGAGTCAGGTTTACCGGCTATTTTGATTTACCTGACGACAAACAAAAAGTTTTAATCGTGACTATCCCATTTTCCGTGTATTTCGGAACTAGGTGCATTTGGAATACTGCGGGGCAAATTAGGTAGCAGTGATGCGTGAAAGGTAAAAAGGCCTAATGTCTGAATGATGCACATGTGGATACCACGTGCAAAATGTGACCTAATACCCAAACCAAACATGTCTGTACAAATTGTTCTATCAGACGAGGAAGGTGCCAGAAGACGCACGCATTCACTGGTACAAAGGCACCAAGATTACACAGAGGGGAAGTTAGCTCCTGTTACTTAGAAACAACTCAGAGAGACTATGCCAGCCGTCACTGGCCCAGGGTACCGTCGAACCGGGCACATCACCGACCATTCCTGTCCAACGTCCCGCGCCAGCACCAGCCCGTTCCGGCCGCCCCCTCCCTTACTCTGTCAGCCCCAGCCCGTCCCGACTGCTCCCATCTCATACCCTCTCAGCCCCAGCCCGTCCCCACCGCTCTATTCGCCGTGTCCCGTCAGCCCCAGCCCGTCCTGACCGCTCCTCTCCCTTACCCCCTTAGCCCCAGCCCGTCCCGATCGCTCCCCTCCGCCGTACCCCGTCAGCCCCACCCCTTCCTGATCGCTCCCATACACCATAACACGTCAGCCCCAGCCCATCCCGACCGCCCCCTCCGCCGTACCCCGTCAGCACCAGCCCGTCCCGACCGCTCCCATACACCATAACCCGTCAGCCCCAGCCCGTCCCAGTCGCTCCTCTCCCTTACCCCCTCAGCCCCAGTCCATCCCGACCGCCCCCCTCCGCCGTACCCCCGTCAGCCCTAGCCTGTCCCGGCCACCCCGTCCCTTACCCCGTTCAGCAGGCGCCGTAGCTTGCTCAGCCGTTGCCCCAGCTGCCGGTTGTGCTCGTCCAGCTCCTGCATCCTGGTCTGCAGGGGGGCCTCGCCCTCGGGTCGGCCGCCGTCGGGCTCCTCCGCCGCCGGAGGAGGTGCGTTCTCCCCGGAGGAGGCCACCGGAGGCGGGGCCTCCTCCTCTTCCTCCTCCTTCGACGACTCTCGACCCAGCTCCGGCGGGGGTGAGGCGGGCAGAGCCGGGGGCGGGTCGGCGTCGTCGCCGGCGCGCGGCGCCTCCGGCTCGGCGTTGGTAGGCGGACCGGCGGCGGCTGCCGGCAGGCCGGCCGGGGCGGCGGGGCCGGCGCGTGCCAGCCGCTGGTACTCGGCCTGGAGGGCGCGGTTCTCCTGCTCCAGCTGGCGGATGACGGCGCGCAGCTGCTCGTCGCGCGTCTCGTCCGACACGCCCTCGGACGAGAGGCTCATGCAGTACTGCGTGATCAGCTGCAGCTCGTCCTCACTGCACAGACATGGGACGCCGGATGGGTTACTGTACGCTCGGCAGTGCTTCGCTTCCGTGGAGCAAGTAACGGCCACGCTGCGGAACGAAATCTGTGACAAAGGCCTATGGCGTGTAACTGCCCAGAGTTGCAATATGTCCAGGGTTCTAAGTGGCTGAAAGCAAACAGTTTCTTCTGAAAATCGCTCTGTAGGTCAAACAAGCAGGAAAATGACGACAAAATAGTAATTCGCTGCAGAGCTGAATATGTTCCGTTTCATTTTCAATTTTTGTCGTTCGGAGCATTTCGAAATATAAATTTTTCATAAACAAAATGTCATTTAACACTAAAACATTCCACAAATGCCGAAGGCCTTTGAGAAAAGAGCGCATGAAAGCGAGCGTGCACAAATACATAAAATCCCCATACTGCAAAGTCAGCCAAATTGACCTTTCAATTACATGAAGATGGGCTCCGAGAACGAACGACACAAGTACAGCTGATGTGGCAAGGATGACACTACTGACACTCATACACAGTGACACCCTGTAAAAAAACAATCAGGCGGCATCTTTTTTCAGAAGTGCCATGATACACTAGTCTATCAAACGTGTTAAACCCCATGCAGTTGAGTCCTCAAACAGCACAACCCCAATCATGTTTCAGACTGCCCGGACCGCCGCATCGCCCGACCCAGCACGAAACGTACCTCTCCGGACTGGAGAAGCTGTGAGCGTCCACTTCGGAGGTTGCGTGTCCGTTCGTGCGCGCGCCCTGGTCCAGTGAGCAGGTGCGCAGATGATCGGCGGAGGCGGCCGAAGTGACGCCCTGAGACGCCACACCATTTGACGTCACGGCATTCAGCAAACAACAGCGCTCATAACTACCAGGCCATGATGTGTTTGGAAATGAACGACCGCAAAAACATGACATGAAGACGCGTTGTTTAAAATAACTTACTTAAAATGACTTGACCGCTTAGAACGGAATTCAACGGACGACAGCGCTCGTAACTACGAGGTCGTAATGTGTTTGGAAGCGAACGGCCGGGCAAAACAGGACATGCATACGTATTGTTCGACATGATGCTTCGAAAAGTCGGGTATATCAAACGATTCTGGCAGAAACGAACTGAGTTTCGTTGAAAGGGAAAGGGTGACAGAGGAACGTCACGATGTGTTTGGAAATGAACAACCAGCAAAACATGGCACGAAGGCGTGTTGTTTAACATGACGCTTAGAGAAGTCGTTGGCCATATCGAACTATTCTAGCAGAGACGAACTGATTATAGTTGAAAGGGAAACTGTATGAGGGAAATATTAAAACAGCATACCGAACTCCAGCAGCCCTGAATGATGTGGCGCAGGTCCATGAGGCCGAAACCAAGGTATAGCTCCTGTGCTTCGTAACGGCAGCACTGATGCCGGCACCGCTAAAACATCGATGTTTAGGGACAACGAACCGGACGATTTATTGGCCAATACCTCAGCCATGGGCTGGACAGGGAGGTAGCCCAGCTTGGTATGCTTGCGGAAGTAGTGCTTCGACTTGAACCGGTTTCGTATCGACCTGGTGAAGTCCTTGATGTCATCGCTTGACGAACTCTGGAACACAGCCATAACGATAACAAGGCCCAACGCGAATCCCGAAAAGACAGCAATAGCAAAAACAAAGTTTTGTTTGCGAAACAGCGTGGTGCAAGACCAATCACGCAGCATCAATGGCACATGACATTCCCGAATAGAAAATGACTTATGAGCCAACCACCACTCAGCTTGATGATCAGCTTGAGAAATGCTTGTGCAACAATCATGTGCTCAGCGTCGCCCTTTACAACTCATCCCGCATTGCCGTTCAGCTTTGACGAACATGGTTCACAGAGGGGTGGGGAAGTAAAACAGTTGTATAAAATGAGTTTATTCAAATTGGCGGCACGCAACTCGGAGCGTGTGCTGAGGCTCTTTCGCCGAGGGAGGTAGTGATCTGGTCCAATGCATGCATCGCAGGCTATTTAAGACTATATTTCTTCCCTCCAGAGCATCTCAGCTGATGTTCGCTTACCTCTGTGCAATATTCGTGCATGGGATGACTGAGTTTGTGACTTTTGGCGACACGTCCGGTGAAGAAGCATTGCTGACACATATCGAAGTTGAAGCATTTCAGACACCGGTATCTGTAACGCAGGTACAACTGGATCAACTCAAGAGGATTGGGAACTGCGTGATGCGCGTGACTGGTTTCATAAAACCATAATTACGAGCAAGACAGTCCTAGTTACAATGAAGCAATGCAGCCCTCACACGGCGTTTAACAACTTTTAAGCTGTAAAGCTGACATATGCCACTTAATAATACGCTCCCTAACATCCCCAACACCGCATCACATTTTGATACCTAGCACATTAAAACCCGATATAATGCGAACACATATTCGATGCAAGATATGGAATTGAAAAACACGCAAAATCACCAAAAGAAATGAGCAGATTGGTCACCAAACTTTTGGTTTCGGTTCGATACCCAACCAAGCTCACGGAAATTTTATAGAATGCTTACTTTCAGAACGTGGACCATTTCCACTACAAAGAAGCATGTGACAACGCAATTTACCTTACTTTTTTACGTGTATTTCTGTAACGCCTTTTGCAAATCGGGCACTGGGAAAAAATCGCCAACACTCAAGTAATGTAAACCTCCGTGTCGCACTACGCATGCTTTCAGACATGCACGCTGCCTCTGCCGGCCCGAACCTGAAACCGACGATGGGGTACTCCTTGCAGCCATTGCAGCGGGCATGATGTCGGGACTTCTCGGCGCCCGCCACCCGGTGCAGCACCGGCAGCCACACCAGGCTCTGCGGCTCGGCGCGCAGCCAGTCCAGGACCTCAGCTTCGCACAAGGTCGTCTCCTGCTCCCCCTCCTTTTCGTCCTCTTCGTCACCGTCGGCCGCGGCGGCTGCGGCGGCGGCGCGGAAGCAGCTGGTGACAGACGGTTGCACGGCCGCGGGGCCGAAGGCGACCTCCTCGCCCATCTGGCCAGGTAGCTGTAGCAGTTGGCTCAGTAGCCGACCCAGCTGCTTCTCGTTCAGCCGCTGTCGGTTGTCGGCGCCCAACTGGAACATGTCTGGGAGGAGGGAGCAACAGGTGAAAGTCTGTCGCTGGCGGAGCCAGACCAGCGATGGCTTTGTGCACAGGGCCCCTTGTAACGAGTGATAGTGGTGAAACTGGACAGGCATGAAAATGCGTTTATTCTATTGTATTGCAGTATACTGTTTTGATCCTTTGGTACACAGTCACACACCGAGACATCATCCGCATCGCTTGATCCGATCCTTTCCCTTTTGTGCGCAGCCAGGCGTATCCCCGGGACACCTCCGCACGGTCTTCCGTGGGCTTTCCGGTTAATTCCTCTGATCGTTTACTGACCCGAGAAGTCCTCGACCCCTTGCAGCTGCTATTGATCAACTTTTCAAGGTCATTCACTGCAGTTCACAGTCATGCCCTTTGTAAGACTGTGCATGCTGTCGCCTGTAAGCTAGGTGCACGCAAACATGTGCAGATTATTTCACGCCGCCTAATTCGAAGTTACCCAAAGATGCACACCGTCATCAAAGCACCATAAAAACTCCTTCTCCAAGGCCATATTGTTGTTCAAGGTCCAGAAAGATATGGCTATTAACTTATTCGTGTCTGAAGTACGTCAGCACGCATCGTCTCGTCAGCGGACAGCAATTAGCTGTCAACTAGCTTCACGTCTTGAATGCGAGTCTCTATCACGAACGGCACGTTTTTGATACATAATACAGGCATCTAAGTAATACTACCAATTATGACCAGCATGATGTTAAGAATCAAATGAGCATGAAAAGCGCCGCCACCGAGAATGCGAATGCACCTGAAAACATGCCATCACGGAAAAATATGGAAGAGCACCACGACAAAGGGCCAAAACATGTGCACATAAATATCGACATCTTTACACACCCCTAACTTAACAAGCCACCTTGCGGCGAAATACAGTCCTATAAGTGGGTCAGCCCGTCCGCTGCAGTGGCAATGCTGCACTTACAACGCCAGTTTGGCATCGACTCTGATATTATAAAAACGTTCCATGACGTAATAACACAAGGCCGTATTGGAGAGCATACTTACAAAACAGTACAGCTTTGTTGCCACAGCAATCTTTTGCACTTTTACCACACCAATAATTATACGTGAGCCCTTTCCATCTCATTTGATGCCTGCCTAAATATCTTCAAATGTGGGACATTCCTTTAAGCCCTACACCGATATCCACATGTAGACAGCAGAATACGCACGGGGTGTACCGCTGAGCCTGCTCGATGGATGGTGTTCATTCCCTCTGGTGACCCAACCTGATCTCCCTGGGACCAGACATTCCGCTCGGAAGCGGTACGCCTAGCTGGTCCGTCGACTGCCAATGCTACTTACGGCCGACGCCGACATCTGACCCGGCTCAACCGTGCACATTGACCATGAATAATGAGCACTTAGCTCTGTATGTGCAGTGCACGATGCGAGCGTCCGCAGCGTTTGACCTCACTTCCATTTCGCGTCGGACTCGGCACTCACAGCGGTATTTCTCCTCCAGATGTGCCTTGCAGAGAGTGATGATGGCCAGTTTAAAGGAGCTGACAGGAATGCGACCAGTCCGACGGCTGCAACGAAGGTGTGATGTCATACTGGATGCCAGAAAACCACGCATGACATCATAGCGAGGCTGAAATACAGCGGACTAAGGAGTGAACGTGCCAAGTGCCTTGATAGTGCACAATATTCCGTGGTTCTTTTTGACATTTGCACGCCAGATGCAAAGTCAATTGCATACTCACGATTCCAGCTCGCATGATACAACTCACTTCCGAACAGCACACTACATCAGGCATCATCATTTGAGCGAGGGGGCAGCAAACCAAGCGATGCTTCGCTCACCCCACTGCGTATCCTCGCACGTCGTAGTCACCGCGCGGCAGCCGAGGCAGTTCCGATTCTCACTTGTAAACGCCAAGCAGCCAGCTGAGAGGAGGTCTATCCTCAGCGCCAGGTCCGCCGTCACTCACTTGTAAACGCTGAGCAGCCAGCTGAGAGGATGTCTATCCTCAGCGCCAGGTCCGCCGTCACTCACTTGTAAATGCTGAGCAGCCAGTTGAGACAGAGGTCCATCCTCAGCGCCAGGTCCGTCGTCACTCACTTATCGTAAACGCTGAGCAGCCAGTTGAGACAGAGGTCCATCCTCAGCGCCAGGGCCGCCGTTACTCACTTGTCGTAAACGCTGAGCAGCCAGTTGAGACAGAGGTCCATCCTCAGCGCCAGGTCCGTCGTCACTCACTTGTCGTAGACGCTGAGCAGCCAGTTGAGACAGAGGTCCATCCTCAGCGCCAGGGCCGCCGTTACTCACTTGTAGTAAACGCTGAGCAGCCAGTTGAGACAGAGGTCCATCCTCAGCGCCAGGGCCACCGTCACTCACTTGTCGTAAACGCTGAGCAGCCAGTTGAGACAGAGGTCCATCCTCAGCGCCAGGTCCGTCGTCACCGGAGGGTCCATACCCCCGTACAGCGCCACCAGCACGGCCACCACGTCGGGCACGGCCACGAGACCGGTCGCTGGAAGGCGCCACGCCTGCGCCTCAAACGCCTGCGCAGCCTCGGCCAGCGGCAGCCGGTGCAGCAGCAGGGCGCGTTGCAGGCGCCGCAGCTTCAGCGCGGTCCTGGCGGCACGGGGGTGAGATGAGATGCATGACGTGCTGAGGAAGACGGAGGTGAGGCGAAAGTCTGACGTGCTAATGGAGACGGGAGTTAGGTGAGACGATTAACGTGCTGGCGAAGCCGGGGGCAATGCGAGAGTCTCGCGTGCCGAGGGAGACGGGGGTAAGGTGAGAGCCTGCCGTGGCGAAGGAGACGGAGTAAGGTGAGAACCTGACGTGCAGAGGGGGACGGGGGTAAGGAAAGATCTTTGACGTGCCGAGGGGGACGAGGATAAGATGAGAGTTTGGTGTACTGAGGGAGACGGGAGTGAGCTGAGACAACTGGCGTGAGAGAGAGGAGGATAAGGTGAGAGTCGGACGTCCTACGGAGAAGGGATGGGGTGAGGCCGATGGTGCCCTGCCGCCGCGAGGGAACGAAGCTGGATTAGACAGCCGCGGTTCTGCCATGATGAGGAGGACAGAGGCGGGTGAGACAGCTGAAGCCCTATCATTCTGACGAATAGGGACGTAATTTCGCAGGTAATTTGAGGTACTGCCGTCCCCCAACTCGCGATGGGGTCGGGGGTCAGTCCCCAAGTCACGACTTGGTCAGCATCGATTGAGGGGGTTGAACGGTGAAAAATAACGTAACCCACTCTCAAAATACGCCGAATATAGGATTGCTGATCGAATTTCGCTGGAGGCCACGTTGGTACGTGGCCGGAGCCCCCACCCCCCTAACTGAGAAGAAAACGTGACTCCTGCTGACGGAAAGAGGTTGAGGCCCTGGCCAGTGTAAGGTCCAGAGGGCACAGCGGAGGGTCTCCTTGTCACAGCAAGTCGTTCAGCAATCCATATATCCGAACAAAGGGGAAGAAGAAGCTACAAGGAAGAAGCGGACGGCTTACCGACCATGACTGGCAGCCCACCGTTCACAGCAGCCCTGCCGGCTCACCTGTACGCCGAGAACCGGACGGCGTCGAGCTGCGGCAGGCCGCGCATGAGCTGGTCGAGCCGCGGGTGGTCCCACTGGGTGCGTCGCTCGCCGTGGTGCAGGTAGTACGGCACGCCGTGCTCGGTCTGGGAACGCTCCCAGGGCGGCTCCACCGAGCGGCCCAGGTCGGGCGGCGCCGGCGGCCCGCCGTAGGCCGCCGAGACGGTCGACGCCACCGAGTGCAGCCGGCCGTTGAGGGCGGCCAGCCGAGCGGCGTGCTCCGGGGAGAGTGGCACGCTGCACCGCACAGGCACCGGGTCAGACCGGGTCGGACCGGGTCAAACGGGGTCAGAGGCCCACCGACCGTTGGGGGCGGCCAGCCGAGCGGCGTGCTCCGGGGGAGAGTAACACACTGCGCCGGGTAAGACGGGGTCATACGGGGTCATACGGGGTCGGCTAGACAGGATCAGACGGGGTCAGGGGTCAGGGTCGGTTAGACAGGATCAGACGGGGTCAGAGGACCGCCTGTCGCAGCCCAACAACGGCGGGAACAACTGAGACAGATGTCAGACGTCACAGCGCAGCGCTGGGAGTCGCTGGGTTGAACAGTGCGCGATTAAGCCAAGGAGCAATTCAAAGCCAGACGTTGATGCATAGTCTCTATGTTGACTTCGCAACTAAAATAGGCATCGATGTAAAGCCAGACGTGGTTCAGCTAACGCGAGTTGAATGACTTCGACCGGGCTGTAGTCAACTTGACTTGAATCATTTCTAGTGCTTATCGGATTCTTCACCAAAGAGCGAATCTTTTCTCGTCGATCATCGACATCAATTACGCCCTAACAGCCCGTCGAACCTGCGCGCATCATATGCAATCACGCCATCATATACCGAGGCAGATCGCATTTACCACAGCCGATAAGCCACAAGCGTACAATCCGAGTCCGGCGAGCAGATCAGCAGCGCCGACTGCCGCACTCACTTGTTCTCTGCCAGCCGGCTGGCCTGGGCATTGACGTCATCCAGGCTTCGTTGCACCTCCAGCAGGCGGTCCTCTGCGACGTCACCGTTGGTGACCACGTCAGGCTGGGTCTGTTCGATGTCGTTCAGCCGCTGCTCGACCTCGTTCATGCACCGCTCCAGCACGTGCCTCTTCTGTGAAACAGGCGTCCGGGGGAGTAGAGTTTGAATAGCGATTGAAACGCCCAAGCCTTCTCGACGTAACCACACGAACGGTTGCAAGTTAATGGCAGTTTTCTTGCCCAAACGAGCAGCAACAGAATCAGCTTCTTTCTATTGAGAGGATGGACATTGGGATGCCCTTCCAAGGAGGTAGAGAGATGCGTGCTGATGCTCACAGGATAACCGACGCACTGAGAAGGAAAGGAGAGAAATGCTCATGTGACAGAGTTAAGTAGGCAAGGATACACTTCAGGGGCAAAATACCAAAAGCAGACTATTAAACGTAGGAGTTAGCGTGACCACTGCCATAGTTCCCACTCAGTTGTACTCCTTCAAGTCAAAAGGTGCTCGTGGCGTTTTTTCTATATCGAGCAGGGTTGACAAAATGCCCCCATTTTATTTTCTGTAACAATAAGGCATCTGTAGCTATCAATCAACCGTTTCGCTCAAAGACCATACAAACTCTGGACGTGGCTTACGGAGTGAATCTAGTTTTATAACTATTGTGTGATTTTAGGAAAAATGTGCAGCGCCGGTAGCTGGGCACACAATTTACGACATGCGATGGGAAATTTGACAAATCTTTAACACGCTTAACACACACTTAATCGTCATTCTCATTATCATGGCGCCAACCATCCAGCGATAATCGAGCACGAGCACGCACACAATATTTCGCCAGGAGACGACATCGTTTTGACCAGGACAGAACGGTGCCTGAAGTCTCCGTAAAGTGTGTGTCCGCCGGTCTCCCTCTACATAGCCGCTGGCTATAAACACGTTGGCTGTTGGCCCTGCCTCGTTTGCCAGCAAAGCCAAGTCACAAATCTCACAGCGGACAGCGGAAGACGATTGGCCTGATCGGCGGCGTCGTCGCCGGAACCGCAAACACCACCCACATCGCTCTCCAAACATTTGTGCACGCTGCGCTGCTATCTACGCCCAGGGTTCTGAGCTTTGGCAGATATATAGTGACGTAAACAAGGTGGCTGTGGTGTTTGCGGGTGTTGAACGGCCTGGTCTCTGGAGCATCGTTTTCTAGCACACGGAACCATGAGTCACTATGAAAATGATGCGGCCGTCGGCCACACCCGTCCCACTGACATGCAGTCGTTGAAAACTTGAACATTCAGTTAGGCACGAACGCCGGGGGCCAGTCGAGATCAAATTTCGGCGCACAAACAGCACCAAAAGCCGAACAGCAAGCTTGCGTGCATGACTTAACATCCCATTTTCCCGCACGCCTCCACGAGCGTGCTGTGGCATGCCACAGCGTGCCACACACCACATGCCACACGCCTTCACGGCGAGTGGCAAGCTCGCCAGCTGCTGAGTTTATAATTCAAATCGACATGCATTAGTGGACCACGACAGCGAGCAAAACATGGCGGCGAAGTTCTCTCGATGAGGGACCGCCATTGGTGGATAACCCGGTATGCCGAGTGCCGCAGTGACGACACCACCTTCGGCGGAAACTGCGCAGTTTCACATGCCAGGGAAAAGGCTGGAGGAAAAGGCTTCCATGGAAAGGTCGCTGTGCTGGAAATGCCTTTACGGCATTCTCCATCCCTGGTGATCACGTTTCCATAAGCTTCCTTGCGCGGAGGACCAACTTACTTCACGCAAAATTTTATCACGTGAGCCATTTCCTGCATGCAAACATGCGTCAAAACCACACAAAGCCAGGATTGGGCCTGGACTCACTGTTGGACCAGGACTCATATACATGACTCATTCCACAGGTGGACGGTGCTCAAATGCAGACTCATCGGTTCAAGACCAATGATCTTGAAATCACATTCCGCCGCAAAATCATAGTTCTCCATCCATAAAGAGCATAGGGCAGAGAGCGCTGGATGCAATGCGATGCACATGAATAGAAAGCAGCGTGCCGAGTAGATGAGAAAGCAGGGTGCCGAATACGTAAGAAAGCGGCGTGCCGAGTAAATAAGAAAGCAGCGTGCCGAATAAATAAGAAAGTAGGCACGATGCGAAGACAAAGCACCAAGGAGCGCCAATGAAAACCACGCGCTGACAAACTTCCCGTCGTCGCTCTGCCTTTGATACAATCTGCGCCTTACCCCCGGGGCCGCACTCAAGCCACCAGGAAGACAAAAGAAACCTCTCATTAAAAATCCGATCCTCTGCGATGAATGGGAGACCACCATCCCGCGCGAGCCGCGCGTCTCCAACGCCAGTGTTTAGGAACCGCCGGGTTTCCGTCCGTGGTCGTCCATTCACGGCGTGTTTTTTCAACCGAGTCATCAAGTCAACGGCATGTTTTTGGAGGCGGCCGGCGACATCTGTTTGCTTTTGGTCGGCGAGGCGGCGCCATATATCAGGGGCCGTCTCATCACCGCGGCTCCGGTGCACCACATGGCGCCGGAGAGCGCCGCGCACCGTCGCTTCACGGCGCCGGCGTCTCTCGTGGGATGGGGCCGCACGCGCCACCGTCACCACCGTCCGCGCCGATAGCAACGCAGGCAACCCGCGCACACCGGCAGCAGTCCGAGGTGGCGGAGCCCAACAGACCTCCGACGGCGACAAGACTGGAGCGATCCTTGCATGCGTTGAGGGTGAGGGTCAGGGTGGGTGGGGGGTGGGGTCGAGGGAGGGGAAAGAGGGGCACGGCCTTGTTGCCCCGAGAGTGGGGTGTCAATATGTCCGGTTCGACCAGCGGTCCAGCTCGGCATAAACCAAACAAATTGGGCGGGTCAGGCCGCCGGCTCCGAGGCCGGCACCGAGTGATGGACAGCAGCCAGATCCGTCTGCAGCTGGTCTGCGACGGCGAGGGGGGGCCGGCCAGGCAGCTCGGACAGCGCGGGGGACCCGGGCAGAGGCGGCCGGACAGCGCGGGGGACCCGGCCAGAGGCGGCCCGGACGGCGCGAGGCGCGCGTGGGACCCGGTCAGAGGTGGGCCGGACAGCGCGGGGGACCCGGCCAGAGGCGGCGGACGCTGGTGCTTTGTATGGATGTTGGACACAATTTTTGGTTGGACAAAACGGCATGCTCATCGCATTTACATGAAGCAAAAATGCGCTTTCGCTGCGCTGTCAACAGGTACGGCGAGGTTCTTTCCCTCGCGGACACCAGAACTGACGTCTCAAAACAATGACCGATACGTAACCTTTCTTCATATATATGTGCTCCCACAACCGGTGGCCTGTGGAGGGGTCCCGCAGCCTGAGTCGTGTCACCGAATTTAACATCACCCCCGTGCGTGTGTGGATGTCAAACATTAAACGCGCGATGAACAGACTGATTGGGCGGACAGACGGCTGCCTCCTCTGGATCTCGCACGCAGGAGCAACGGGCATATTGCAGCACACATCATTCATCACTGAGTCGGTGACAGGTCTCACCGTCCGGCGGCCGGCCGTCCGAGCGGCTCGCCCCACGCACCTCCGTCAGCCAGATGGCGTCAACGTCCCTACGGGGGGCGGGGGACACGGCACCGGCAGCCGCACGCCAGGGTGGCGGCGGCGGTCGGCCGGGGGGTCCCGAGAGCCGACGTCGCGGCAGCAGCAGCGGCGAGCGCGCCGCCCGCCGCTCGCAGCACAGCTCGGCGTAGCCGGAGACGGCGTCCGGCGGCGGCGGCGGCGGCGGGGTCAGCCGCGGCGGCTCAGAGACCGGGCGCAGCGCCGCCGGCGGCGTCCAGGTGATCGGGCGGACCGGCCGCGCTGCCATGGCAACGCCGGCTCTGTCACGTGACCACGCTCACACCCGCACCACGCCACAACGTCGCGAGGCCACGAGCTCCCGCGGCGACGCGTGGCACCGTCGCCGGCGGCGTACTCGGAGTCGCAACCGCGCGCGCGCGGGTCAAAGGTGACGCTCGCCGCCTGCCCGGAGGCGGTGCGCGCGCCGGCCGCGCGTCGTTCGGCGACTGAGGCGCCGCCGGCGCGAGGCGTCGGCCCGGTGGAGGACCGCACAGCCAGCTGTGCTGCCGCTGCAGTACGGCCGCGCTTTTTCAAGGCCCCGCAGATGCGAACAGATAACAGCAGTGCGATTTTCCAGGCCAGATGACAGCAACAGCAATGGCGGTCGCAGGCCGTACTGCTCAGATGCAGCAAGCTGTTAGCCCAGCTTCCTGCTTTGTTATTACATGTCAGTACAAATTCTCAGACATGGCGACTCCAAGACGTCGTCCCACATGCGTAAGTGCAACATGGGGGCCAACGCAAACAAGCCGTGGCCATCTCCCAGCCCCGTCTGCAGGGCCATCACCGCCACTGAAATCAAACGCCAAGTTTCTGGCCACCGAATCCTGCACCAAACATTGGCGCACACATGGCTCACCGCCCCCGCCCTCGTTTCCGGAACATGACCGCTGGCTGGTGGTGATACCCCTACGGCCCAGTGCAGGTCTCCTTGCGTGAGTGCTTGGTTGGCAGCTGAGCACCGCCTGCGCTGCGTTCGCCAGATCCTGAGCACCGTCTTCAGCTCCGTTCTCCGCCCCAGGGGACACTCCCATCGCCAGGAGTGTATTTTCCTATTCAGTTGTGGCAGGGGTGTGTTTTCACAAACAAGATTAGGGATAAGCGGGAGAAATAGCAACACCTGCCCTCAAAATGCAAAAAAGACGTTACAGGACTGGACTTCAGCATCCAAATTTTGGAAATAAAGTGAGCCATGTCTGTGGATAAATACGGTTTTGACTACTCTGGGGTAGACTAAGGCATTTTGTCTTGCTCAGTAGCTCCAACTAAATTTGCAAAACTACGCCTTTGGCCGTAGCGGTTCGTGGGTTGTTGAGCCAGACCAGGACATAGCAGCGGCCCAAGAAATATCATTAGAAAATAAACCGATGATGAGTCCGCAATGCCACTTGTGGCGCAATTTTCTCGTTTCTTTTGCAGCAGTGTTACCCATGTGTGATTCGAAGTCGCCTCGACATACTTGCTCCATGTTCAGTAGAATACATTCAACAACACACACACACACACACACACACACACACACACACACACACACACACACACATATATATATATATATATATATATATATATATATATATATATATATATATATATATATATATATTTAAGCTCACACGCACCAGTTTTCGGAAACATGCTTACTGGCACAGTGCTGCTTCTTTGCGGACCATATGCCGCTGGGCAAGCGGCAGACAGTGGCAAACGAACGCCTCGAACGAATACCAATAAGGGACAAATCGTGATAAGAAGGGGGCAAACAAACGCCTAGAACAAACCCCAAAAACGGGTGTCAACGCATGCGCGCACGGCTGACGACGGGCGCTTATGAGGGCAGATGATTTCGGAGGAGCGGTGGAGTAGCCTACAAAACATTAGCAACCTCGTCAGCGCCGGCACAGTCACAATCTGCCGGGCGGTGAAGCTACTCGGGTACTCGCATGTGTGCTGTGAATGGGTGCTGCACTGCTTCCGACAAGAGCAGAAGAATGCACGCGCAGAGGCTGCGCAGGAGTGCTTGATCAGTACGAAGCTGGCTACAAACAGGTTCCGGACTTAACAGTCACTTATGATGAGACGCGGGCGCATTTCTACGGCCCGCTGGCCGAAAACAAGAGCAAGGAATAAAATAAATCCGACGAGAGGACCTCACCCCAGCCCAAGCTCAGACACATGGGCGGGGGTTGTAGCGATTGGGGGGTTTGGTCGCGCCACTGCTACAATCATATTGCGCTGGCGCGCGGGTGGGATGGCCATGTGTACGGTGTTCTGCGACACAGACAGCACAATCAGCATCGACGTCCTTCCCGGGATAAGACGATTAACTCCACATAGTACTCCTCGCGCTGAAGAAGATTATTGGAGCCATGCCAAAAAAACACTATCCAAGCGAGGCCACAGATTTCAGCCCCATCACGACAACGCACAACCTCACGTCGCCGTCGTATGAGACGGCGACGCTTTTGAGAGGATGTGAAATCCCCACTGCCCAACACCCGCTCTCTTCGCCTGACCTGGCCCCGGCGACTTTTCCATTCTCCCAAAACTCAATTGAGTAAAAAGTGAAAAATAGTCTATCAGTGCCGAGGAGCTGGAACGGTATTGTGGCGCGTTTTCGGAGGCACCAGAAAAGGAGAGGCTGGTGCGGCCCTCAGGATAGGAGTGGAACGGCTTCGTAAGTGTGCACGGCTTGGATGCTAAGATATACTTATCTGTTGCATGTTGGCCTGGACTTTTAAAACAACATCCACAAATTCTGAAGCGGCCCCTACAACTCGAGTACCGTCAGTGGCAAAATCCAAAAATCGCATATGTCTCCAATCAGCGTGGTGAGAGGAAGGTTTGTGTGACATTTTGGTCGAGATCGGACCACTTTGCGTGGTGCAGCGCGGGCAAATCTGCCCCATAGGCTGAGCAATGGCCGGCGGGATTTGCTGCGAGCGACATAGCGACATCACATCAGTATCGAGCTTCTCCAGCCCTTTCACGGATCTTGGCACGGCTCTTGGCTCACTGTGTTCATGGACCGTGGTTGCCGTCCAATTTAAATTATAGCACAATTGTACCGCTTGTCAAAAACTTGTGTTTATTCCAGGAGCGTTTCTTTTGAAAAATCGGCTGCGGGGAAATGAACCGATAAGGTTAATCTAACCTACCCCAGAACCTGATTTGTTCCCGGATTTCGGCCACTTTGGTTTACGTCTCCGATAATGGAATAGAATAACTCTTAAATGATATTTCATGGATGATGACTTTGATGTGGTTGCGAAGGTGTGACTTCACATTTCAGAGCGATGTGAAGGTACATTTTTTAAACGGTTTAAAAGGAGTATGAATTACAGAAAAAAAACATCTGAGAAACTCGAGCCATTGTGATCAACGAACATATGTGTCGTCCATCGTTGATCGAAGGTGGCTCCAGGCGCAAAAGACAGTACGGTGGGAAATGGCGTGGTCTGGCACGTACGGACGAGAGCATATAGGATATTTTGAGTGCACTGCCACGATGTAACTAAATATCATGTGTATCAAAACATCATTTGTTTGAGCATTACATATCTAAACCTAAAACTTATTTTACACGACCTTCTCAAGAAACATGTTGATAATTATGAAGACAATTTGGGGTGATACTGGCGACCGGATGCGTCTTCGCAGCGGCCGCCTTAAAAAAATGTCACGACCAACGCTTTGACATGTGCCGGAAGTTGATATAAGCAAGAAGGGTTGTGAATCTTTATGCTTCGGGGATGATGAGTTGGGAGTTTGCATGCTGAAATTAATAAATCTTGCGCATACCAGAGGGTTGTGATAAAGCCATGTCATCAAAGAGGCATTGGTCATACAGAGGAAACTGTAGGTTTCGAAGCTGTGCACATGGCCAGATATATTCGCAAAAGGTGATCAACACCATCCCAACATTTCTTTTGCTCTGGAACAGAACCGCACAAAATGTTTACATTCCAACCCTTGACACCCTTTTTGTGGTACAAACTGGCGGAAGATACAGCACCGAACTGTACTTTAAATTGTCCTGCCCAGCAGAGCAGTTCAATCTGTTCCGATACATCGGCTGGTTAGAACGCCTGCATTCTGATTCACAGACCTGCGGCGGGGTGGGTTCGAGTCGCCTGAGTCGTGCGCTTTTCCCCTTTACTGGCACAGCCTACGGCCGGTGGCAGCGCGCGCGCCAGGAAAGCAAACAGACTGTGTCTGTGTGAAGCTACCGTTTTCACAAAGTGCCCCAAGTAAAAGTTAACTCACGTTTTACTCAGCGGTGACGAAAGTATTTCTCGCACAACCAAGACAGCGGTAGTATTCAATAACCACTCAATGGTAACGCGTGATAAAAAGCAATGGTAGTCAAACGTGATCTGCATTCGTCAAATCATTACTCCACAGAAGATGTCCCTTGAGGACGAGATTGAGGATCCTGTCAACACCACTCCAGAGAGCAACATCGCTACCGCTCTGATACCCTCCTAGGCGGCCCTGGGGCCACTTCACAGGCTCTAGTGTGACGAGGAGTAGCTTCAGCAACATTTTGCACGGCATGGACTTTCCTGGATTAGTTCAGCACTTCGTTTCGTTCACTGAATCGTTTCGCTGAAATGCACATCCAAAAACTGCCGTGCTGTGGCTTCTCACCCTGTAAAACCTTTCATGATCAGCAACTCAAACGTTCAACTTATTTTGCCTGGGCACACATCGGACAGAACTCAGCGTGGATCACTGGGCTCATCCCTTATAGTACGGACTTGGATCATGCAGAGCTGTGCGCTCGGGCCGTGCGTGTGGTATGCCCTGACGCTGCCCTGCGTGCGACATGACCTAACTCAGCAACCCCGGACTGGCAACGTCATCACCGGAGAGCCCTGCACCTGCTGCTCAGCGCAGTGAGTGAGCAGCCACGGCGGCGGCGGATGCCATTGCTGCAGCGTCCAATTGTGTCCAGATTGTGTGTCAATACGCCCAGTTACGAAAGACCATCTGAGCCTGCGCGGTAATGACCTTGCCCTATACAGCTCCGCTTCGCTCGGGAACTACACACCGGGTAAAATGCGCATTAGTTCGTAATCGCAGCTCAATAAATAGCTATACCGGATATGCGCGAGGAAGACCTCCAGATCCTATTTGTTTCGACTCGTAAGTTTTCATAGTAAAGATGGCCGACATTCCATAATAAGTGAATGCCAGGTTATCAAGCAGCGGTAGGTATGGAGAAAAATGGACGTTTCATGGTGACGCTGATGGTTACAAGCGCTACCATGAAACGTCACGTTTTCTCACAATGTATACAATGTATGATCTGATAAGTTGTTTAACCAATATCTTCTGGTACGTATACTGAACGCCGACCTTTGCAAAGAATTACTACTACGCCAACAGCTGGTAAAAGGACAGTCACTCATTTCAGCCCTTTCGCTCTTTTCGACAGCTGACCACCAGAGATAATCTGCTAGATGGTCCAGCGGCACATGTGACGGTTAGGATCACTAACACTGCAACCTCTCACGTCCAATCCCACGACAGAACCGGTGAAATGTTCGAGCAGTGCGCGGGATTCGAACCAACGTCCCAGTGCTGGACCCGGTATCGCACCATTCACGCCCGCTCCTCGTCTCCCCGTCAGCGCTGGCGAATGGTTTAGTTCCGCAGCTCACCGCCAGGGCCGAGTCAGCGCGTCGTCGGAAGAGTTCGGCGCGTCGGCCGAGCTCTCGCCACTTGTCCTGTAGCTTGGCCGCCTCCCGACCGATAGCCCTCGCCTGCTCCAGACTCTGGTCCAGCTCGGAGCGACGCTCCCGGCCGTAGCCATCGCGCTCGCCTCGACCTGTGGACACGGGTCAGCTCAGCGCGCGCCAATCGCCCACCACAGCCTGTGGACACGGGGCGGCTCGGGGCAAGCCAATCGCTCATCGCGGCCTGTGGATACGGGTCGGCTCAGGACACGCCAATCGCCCACCACAGCCTGTGGACACGGGTCAGCTCAGGGTACGCCAATCGCCCATCACGGCTTGTGGACACGGGTCAGCTCAGCGCGCGCCAATCGCCCATCACGGCCTGTGGACACGAGTTAGCTCAGCGCGCGCCAATCGCCCATCACGGCCTGTGGTCACAGGTCAGCTCAGCGCGCGCCAATCGCCCGACGCGCCAGACCGGCGCCGCAGCGGCGAGAGAGGGACATGATAGGCTAGTCGCCTGTCGGAAGAACACGCTCACTTGGGAGCGCGTGACACGTGACACGTGACGTGACGAGACGCGGGATGTGACGCGACATGTGATGTGACACGTGACACGTGACGCAGCACGTGTGCGATACGTGACACGTGACGTGTCGCACGTGACACGTGACACCCGCCACGTCCATGGATAAGGCATAGACGTGGGAGTTACGGGCACGCTGGCTTCGTTACGTGGTGACTGCTAAAATAAGTCACAATCTCAGTCACAGTTCGACGGAAACAAACCATCGATGGTACTGAGCTTAGAGAGAAAGGTATCCTCGGCGTCGCTGGCCGGAGGCACTTTATGCTGGGACGTTGCTGTCTTGCAACTAGATCAGGAGGGATCTTCACTGCCCCCACTGTAGCTACGAACTACTACGGACTACGAACTTCCACGGACTGCCCCCACTACAGACTACGAGCGTAGCCAAAAAGTAGGGCGTGACCTACTGGAATCCTGTGCACTTCCAGGCGGCAGCCGGGATCATACAACCGTTCATACGATTTGGGCCCCAGATAATCGTGTTGTACCCCCGGGGCTTAAGCCAGTCTCCAGAATCAATCGCCTGGCCATTCATCTGTCCCAGGGCGGCAAATCCTGGTGGACACGCCCTGGCAGGTGCCTCAGCTGTCACCAGGGACGGACACACCTCTCCCTGCCTAGAGTGACCCATACCTTCGCTGTCGCTAGACTCGCAGTGGATGGTTGGCTCAGCGCTATCCCTGCCCACTGTGAGCCATACCATCGGTGTTGCTGGCCTTGCAGTGAAGGGCGGGGGGGGGGGGGGGGGGGAGGGTTCGGAGCTCTCCGTGCCCAATGTGAGCCACACCTTCGGTGTCGCTAGTCTCGCAGTGGAGGGCGGGCTGAGAGCTCTCCCTGCCTACAATGGGGCATACCTTCACTGTCGTTGGCCTCGCAGTGGAGGGCGGGCTCAGAGCTCTCCCCATCACATGTGAGCCGTACCTTCAGTATCGCTGGCCTCGCAGTGTAAGGCAGGCTCGGAGCTGACCGCTCTGGCGGCGCTCAGCTTGCTACTGATGAGCGCCTGGCGGTCCGACAGCTGGCTCAGCAGAGAGCGGGCATCCTCCTGCGCAAAAGCGAACGCTGTGATTCGCAGCCATTATAGCAGAAACACGTAGCATCCCGCAGCAGAGAGCGGGTATCCTCCTGCGCGAGAGCGAACGCTGTGATCCGCAGCCATTACAGCAGAAACACGCAGCATCCCAGCTTGGAGAGAAAAGTGGGCCAGCTCCAGAGATATGCATCTTTTTTGCTACTGCCACAAGTTGGGTTAGATTTTGCAGTTTTCCTCCGCTCGGTCCTCCCAAAACAGTCTATTTTGCGAAATTACACCCGTATCCCAAACAATTTCTATCGGCATTCAGAAAGTGGATAGCTTGGATGATAATTTGCGTCGATTGTATGTGTCGTGGTACTGATATTTCTGCTATATCCAAATGGCATCCGCATGACCCCATCATCTGAATTTGTTGATTTATGTTCGCTGATTCACAGTTGCAGCATGCTGGCAGGCAAAAGTGTAACCGAAGAACAACATTCTTAAGATGCACCTTGACTCAACCATTTCGACGTCCCGTTTGAACCACAAACAAACTCCAGTCCCTTGTTCGTTTACAAAAGCAGCTAAATCGAACCCAACGACCGAACAAACACGAACTCGCCGCAAACGGCTAAACACTGCGTAAAATCAGCTGGCGCAGCGGCGAGACATTCCGCACACAATCAGCTGACAGAGCGGCCGAATATTCCGAGCCGCGTCGTCTGTCGTGGCGCGACGGCGCTGGCCGCTACCCGGGCTGCAGCGGAGCAACTGTCGGTGTCTCGCCGCAGCAGTGGTCAGACCCCGGCTGGTGCCACTGGCCGCTGCCCGGGCTGCAGCGGAGCAACTGTCGGTGTCTCGCCGCAGCAGTGGTCAGGCCCCGGCTGAGGCCACTGGCCGCTGCCCCGGCTACCGACCTGCTGCTGCTGGAGCGCCGCTGCGTCCGCGCGGAGCGGCTCCAGCTGATTGAGCTCCGTCTCCTTCCTGATGACCCACTCCAGCAGCTCCTGCAGGGAGAGCAGCAGCCCGCCGCGCCCCTCGCGGCCCAGCTCCGCCTGCGACCTGCGGACGGCACCGGCGCCGGGTCAGCCGAGGTGGACCTCAGCGGCCACTGCGGCGGACACAGGTGGTTGTATGTCTGAAGGATTGTATATCTGTTGATCTGTATTATTGTATATCTGTTGATTGTATATCTGTTGATCTGTAGGATTGATGGGGGGAATGCTGTGAAAAGTGAAGGTGGCAAAGGTGCGGAAATACACGTCTCTCAAGTTGAAGTAGGATCTTAGGCCAACTTTCATCAACGTTAGTGTGACCGTCGCCACGCCTGAGGCCGTACCTGCGATCTCCACTCTCCACTCATGTCCGCTCTGGACAAAGTAAGAGGAAACGCGTCTAAACGTGACGGAGGACACAAATCGCATGATACTTCCGCCGTGCCAGTCATATCTTGTCTGTTATCATAGTTATCTGTTATCGTAGTTATCTCTGGTAGATCATCAGAGCCTACTGGTCTCCGTGGTAATCGCGTGGCTCTCCGGTTCAAGCATTATGACCTAGCCGTGTAACCGTACGGCTGTGACGTCACTGTAGCCTGGCCGCGTGAATGTCAAGCTGACCTGGTTTTAAAAATCATCCTCAGTAATCGATCAACGATGGCACACACCCAACATGTGCGCAAACACGTGCCATAACTCACAACTCGAATCCTGTGTACTCCCGGCCCACTAGCGCGGCGTCTCGTTAGTTGCGGGCACGTCCGTGCGATGTCGCTGCTGATGAGAACAAGTGTGCAGATGGCGCTAATGCTTCCCCGCCTCGGCACGGATCCTAGCGCAATCAAGCATGCAGGCGCTCATGGATAACATGTTTCTGTCCTAGCCATGGTCATAATAACGTACTGTGCCGTAACACATTCTCTTCATGGAAGTAGACACAGAGCTTCCGTATTGAACTCAGATGACGGAATTGTCAACATGACGTGGCGGGAACGACACGATAACATTTAAACGTCAAGTGTTGTAAGACAATACATGACCGTAGTTGGCCGCTGCAGTTCAATTTTTGGCAAATAACGAAGCACCTTGGAAAATGTTCATGAAGCGCAAAGCGTCTAAGATCCAGGACTGAAGCTTTTCAGCGCGCACAAACAAGGCAGGGATGAAACCAGACGCAAACGTATCGCCAACGGTGCTGCATAGGAGACGCCTTCTCAGATGACAATTCAATTTGCCCAGAATGTTGTTGTATAATCTTAAAAGCCTTGTGTCTGCACCAGAATTAATGGGACAACGGATCAGAAACATGAATTCCTATTTCGAAGTGAAATGTTGGGTTAGCCAGGAAAATGAAGAACGATGTGCGCCAGAGGTCGCGCTGCGTTACTCTCGTTCCTCTTACCGCGATTCTCTCGAGAGCGTTACTCTCGAATCCAAGTGCATCTCACTCCTCACTTCAAGTGCCTTTGGATCTCTCCTCGCTTTCCGTTTGCAGCATCCACGCTCGCAGCGCATTCTAACCGCCATTAATTATTGTCTTTGCTTGGCGTCAGCTGTGACCCTCGGAAACGAAACGATGACGCAACCGTGAGTACCAAACTGGGGCGTGTTTGTCCATCGTTAACTCAGGGCATTGGGGGGACACCGCCAGTTGATTTTGCGAGGCTGGCTGCCGGGGCGGCGGAACCCACAGAGTTCACTGTATTTTTTTCCGGGACCCTGACGCGGTGGACGAGTGGTTCGAGGTGTTGCCCCAGTTGAGTCGAGCGGCATCCCACGGGAGGCCGGCGGCGGGAACACCAACAGGAGCGGGGGAAATCGATGACAAGAGTCACCTGGGAGCGCCGCAGTGAGCCGTCTTAAAAGGAAGGCGGCGGATGAATACGAATGACGCGTCCCATCAGGTCCCGTTTGTGTCCGCTATTGGTGCGGGCTTTCAGGCTATTCGTCTGTCTAGACGTGAGGGCTGACAAAAATAGTTTGATTTGATTTGATTTGTGGTATCTGTTGAGTTCTGGTCACTGTATTTCTGCTGAGATTAATTAAATGTTTTCTGTGGGATCCATATTGCTCGACTGGTAACAATGGTCTTTGCGCATGACCTCGATGGCTGCATGCGCCAAACAATACATGCTTTTACATGCATCTTGAACCTATCACCCGATAGCCGCTACCCTAGTTTTTTGGTCACTGCTTACAGCTCTTTGTGAAAGCGAGAAAAACGTGTTTTTTTCCCGGCGTCGCCTACCAAAACAGGCGACCTTTTCAGTGAATAACATCAGTCGTCTTTCGGGCCCTGTCCTCCGCCATGTCACGGCCCAGTGACTAGACGCCACGCTCTGTACGAGGGACGTGACCCAAGCTAGGCGTGTCGCAGACACGGGCGACGCTGGCATCAAAGCTGGTGACGGCTAGATGACACAATGGCCATTGAAACGCAAATCAGACGCGTGCTGGTCCAGGAAACAAATGCTAGTTTTTGCCAGACGACGTGGTAATAGCATGGTGGCAGGGGCACACCCAAGTGCGGAATAGCTGGGTGTACCTTCCTTCCCGTTCGTGTAGTGTTGTTTTTACCTGTTCAGTGCGTCGTTTGTGCGAATAAGTATACTGCTGATGGCGGAGAAGTGGGAGTTATCCCTGGCGAGAAAACCACAGCGACGATGAAAAGGAAAAGACCAAAACCAAAATGGAAATAAACTGCATCCGTGGTGTGGTATATCGAGAACGAGAACCGGCCACCTTGTAAGTTACACGACCTCTGATGCCTGGTGTCTGGACAGCCCAGATTTTCACCCAGACATCGAGACGTTTTCATGCCGCAGACAGCGGCTGATTGCGAAAGGTATTTGTTTGAAGTTCGTGCAAACATGTCTGTGACCACGCGTAAAGAAACCAGCATCAGATCTTAGAAAATGCCCAAGGTCAGTTGTGTAATGGCAAGTTTAAAAGGTCGTCATCAACTGCATTTAAATCAATAAAAAGGAGTGCAGACCAAGTTTTTTCCTCGTTTGGAATAAACCATGATCTCGATGGCCCATGGGCTGGCTCTTGATCGCGCACCCACGTTGGTGCGTGTGGGTCTTGATGGACGGCACTGTGAGAATGGCGCGCATTGACTGACATTGCGCCATGGCGTGCTTCGCTCTGGTGCGAGCTGACGTTCTACAGAGCATGGCATATCAACAAATAGCACAACATATACTCTGTTGTGCTGTCTTGCGATCATTCACATGCACGCCTGGTTCGGCTGATCGCAGCTGCTGGTCGTTGGTCCCCATTATGCCGTGGCACGCGCTTCATCAATTCGTCGCCTATTCGTGCTGTCGCGTTATGCGTGACACTTGCGGAACTCCATGGAGTTCGTGAAAGGTTGTCGTATGCAACAAGCAACCGTAACCCTGAATAGGTAAAAATAAAGCCCCCACTCGGTGCTGGATCATAACGCAGCTATGCACGTTCTCTCCCCGCCCCCTCCTCCCGAAGCCAATTTTAAGCTGTCGATCAACGTCTGTTTGTGATCGCTCCATCAATCCAGCAAGTGCATTATTGGCTTTGAGCCAGCAAGGTGCCCTGTTCGCATCGCGGACATGACGCCAAGTAGACCATGGCCCATCTCCTCACGCAAAAGTGTTGCATCAACCCAGCGGTCATGCCTGGTAAATGATGACCTCCATGAAGAGTCTGACCCACCCACTTTTTAGGACGTGCTTACTTCGCTGGAAGAGTCCCTGCCCACGTGCTCTGTCGCCAGTGCGTGACTGTCGCCGCAGACACCGCTCCAGACAACGAAGCAGAATTGACCGCCACGCCCCGGTCACGTCACCGGCCGGCACGCCGCCGCGCCGCGATCACGTGACTGACCGAGCTCATCGCTGATCCCCGCCATTGGTCGCCGGCATCTGCGCGGGCCCGGGCGACCCCTCCCCCCTCTCGGTGACCCCTCCCCGCCGGAGGGGTGCTGTTGACGTCAACTGTCGCGGGTGGCGAGGTAAATACGGCTGCCGGGTGCCATGTGGCGGGTGAAAGATCACAAGGGGATGGGGTGAGGCGACAAGTCCGCGTAACCAGTCCATCGATTCGGAAGAGATGAGAAGAGGGCTGACCTGGAGGCAGTGTCACTGTAGCCGGTTATGCACGTGCATTTATCAGATGTTATTGGAACGGTCACTCATATGATGGTATTTGGGGACATTTATTCGGACAGTCCGCCCGACTTCGAAATACTGGGCAGCTTTAAAAAATCATGGAAATTCACACCATACGTTGAGCGGTGGGGCAGGGGACTGAGCAGCAAACGGTAATGAAAGTTGCCCCCAAAATTCGCCAAAAATCCAATTTCGTTTCAGCTGTAGTACACTTTCTTCTCAAAGTTGGGGGAAGCTGAAACCCAGGATGGCGGGCGGATCTGGGACCCCCAAAGTGGGTAGGACATGACAACCACACGTACAAGCCTCTTACGTCTCTGAACTTTAGCTTCGGGGAAACAAGCGGCGTTAAGAAAAGATGGCTTGGAACTCCAAAGCTCCTACCAAATATTTTGAAGGGTTGGTTTTCGAAAGCTCGTATAAAATAGGAGAAAGATGCGGGGCATCTAATTTTGGGATTACTTTTGTAAAAAACAAAACTAGCGGGCAGTGAAACCATGTCGGACAGACAACACGACTCGGTAAACGATGCTCGCGATCAGTTATCGGACGTCCGAGGCACTGCATGCCGGTTTTGTTTCCACATGCAAATGCACAATATATATATATACATACATATATATATATATACATATATACAAATATATATATACGTATATATATATATATATATATATATATATATATATATATATATATATGCATGCTGTTGAATGTAGGAACTATAGTTCTGTGGCCTCAATCATCAAAAAGCCAGGCGAAGAGCCCAAGCACTTCGAAATCACGTCTGATGACTTACAAGCATACGTGTAAAGGACATCTCACTTCCGCTGACAAACTACGCTTAACTGCCGAAAAATAAGGATCTGGACCAATAGCGATACATTTCTTGACTCCCTTTAACATAGCACGGCGA